CATAAGTAATGTTTGTGTTAATAAAGGAGGCACATCAATTGCTATTTCTACTCTGGCAATAACATTTATTGTCGGAACTTACCTATGCATACAAGTAATAATGATGGAAGCTCGAGAAAGGTTGAGTTTCTATTACTTTCAATTTTATTCTTCACTCTTTCTTTCCTTCTTTCTATATTAGAAATGTTTTGTAGGTTAACACAGTGGTATTTTCTTGTATAAAATGAAATCTGAATGTAAAAGTTGTGCCAAGGTATAAAATAACGTTTCATTCTTAGTGTTCAGTGCGATTCTGAGTAGCTTGTTCTGTGTAAGATTGTGTGGTTTTTAAAATTGAATTTTTCCTTCCTAGGAAGCCTTTCCAAAATGTCAACCGTTGGTTTACCACTATTATTAACCAACCTGAAGTTAAAGCTGTCATTGGAGAGTTCAAGTTGTGTGAGAAGATGGCAGAATTTGATGCGAAGAAATTTGCAGAGCATCAAGGTAAGTTTTAGTTAGAGGTAAAAAAATAAGTTTTCTATTGCCCAGCAGAGCTGGTGTTCTGTTTTTAGTAATTCTGATAAGCAATTAAATGATTTGATGGCACAATGTTTGAATCTAGAAAAAAAAATTGCAAGTTTGCAATCATCTGAGTTGCTTTAAGACAAATCTTAAGATTTCAAGGTTTGCTAAAACTAATGCCAATGATTATTTTATTAAAGTTTAACTACATTTGCGTTTTCATCTGATTTGCACAAAGGTGTGAATATATATTAGTTATGTACAACTTTACCACCTTAAATAAGTGGCTAGGGTTTCTCCTTCAAAGGTTATTCAAGAGTAACATTTTTTTATACATTCTTATAAATCTCTAAATGTCACTTTGCTTCATGAAATATTCTCTCCTGTAAGAGTTTAATGGTACACTTTTCTTCAATTTGATCAACAAATAGTTTTCATGTGCATTCTCCAGATGGTGGAATCACAAATGGGAAATACCAGGGTCCCAGCACAAGATAGCGATTATTTTTGTGTAATGTGAAATAATCATTTTTACATGTTACTCTATGATATGACCCGATTTACTTGGCTCTGGCATTGCCAAAATTATTGATAATGTTTGAACTGTGTATGCAAATCTCTGTAGAAGAGCGACATGTGTAATTGTACACAGCAAATTGATTGTGTCCCGCAGCTGCTCTAAAGAGCATGTCTCCCAAAGAAACTAGCGGAGGCAGTGCCAAAAAGGAGAAGAAGAAGGAAAAGCAACAAGAGAAAGAAGAAAAGATCCACAATGCTGGAGAACCTGCTGAAGAAATGGATGCGACTGAAATGATTCTGGCATCAGAACCAAAGAGCAAGGACCCCTTCGATGCTTTACCCAAAGGGTAAGTTGTAACAGTACTTCATTCCCAAATTGGTTTACAAAACTAGTTCATAGACATGTATAACCACACATGTAACCATACAATGAGAAGCAATACATAAGATGGACAGGGCACACGTTCTTGGTGTCTTGCACTGCTGATGTCGCCAGTTTTTATTTAGATCATATGGGAAATTTCCTATTTAATTTTTGTACAAGAAGGTACTTAGCAAGAGAATTGCTGCAAATCGGTAAGAAATGTATGTAGATACCAAAGAAGACATTGAATAAATTTTTACACAACCCTAAGAAAATCTACTAAAAATGAAAATAAAGTAGTATTCATAACCAGTCAAGTAAAAGTAAACTGTAAAAGACAATTTGTAGATGGTGAAATAAAATTCAAGAAGGGATTTGAGTTACAAGAAATATAATTTTGGTACATGTGCACAGCCATTAGTGCTGTATAAATTTTAATATTTCAAAAAATGATTATTCAATTTCAGATTTCAAAAATGAGACGTGTATCTTAAAATGTATACTACAAAGGTTTCCAAACTGTTCTGAATTTTCAGTTTTGAACCTAAGAAGAGTATAGGTTTTAAACACTTCTGATAAATTATTGAATGTCTGGAGATCTTCAAACCAGAACCAGTCAAGATTTCGCTGCAAAGTATCCTGACTCATGGCAGATATATATTTTTTTAATGAGTTTCAGTTCGTGAACTTTCATGTTTTGCACTTATATGTTGGTTTTTGTAAGTTACAAAATATTCCTATACTTCCCATGCTATATTATTTGAAATTTGACTGTGACATTTTTCAAATTAATGAGATGTTTCAATTAGTGAGAATTATTATCATAAGAGGAAACCACAGAATTTTTGTGTTGAATTCAGTATTCAGGTCATTTAATTTCATTGTCCAACATTTAGGCTTGTATAACAGTTGGGTTGATGCATGTCACTTAACTCTTGATGACTCTGCTGTGATGACACAGGTCAGTTTGTGCACATTCGTTAATTTAACACCGGGCATAGATTATCTCGTTATCTAATGCAAACAAGGCGCACGAGTGCCCTTGAGAAGATGCATTGTTGCCAACACGTCACTCATTCTGTGACTCTTGTAAACTGGCATTGGTGCAGCTGATGTCATCAGTTTTAGGTGACTTGTATCAAATCTGCAATGTGTTTACTGAAGCAAATAGGTTTTCTATAACTTAAAAGGAAAAATGTCTAGTTTTCAATGGTCTCTAATTGCTCCTTTGAAACTTTTAATCTTCATTCAATTATTTATAGATAAAAATGTGCACAGATAGTACATCTACCACACATCACTTTTTACGGTTCTAAGACTCAGTAAATTAAGTAAATCAAAAGTAACTATGGTAGCAGTTCCTGCATGCAGGTTTTAAAGTTGTGTGTGCCAGTATGAAAAGTTAGTTTTTGTTCTGGTCATAAATTTTTTCCTCTCTTCTATGTCTCTCTCATCTCTCTCTCTCTCTCTATCTATCTCTCTCATCTCTCTCTCTCTCTCTCTCCTCTCTATATCTCTCTCTCTCCTCTCTATATCTCTCTCTCTCCTCTCTATATCTCTATCTCTCTCTCTCCTCTCTATATCTCTCTCTCTATCTCTCTCTCTCCTCTCTATATCTATATCCTCCCTATATCTCATATATATATATACACTATATATACATATATATACTATAATAATATATATATATATATATATATATATATATATTATATATATATATATATATAATCTGCATATGCTCCAATCCTGAAGGGAATTTTTTGCAAACCTTACTAAACACCATTGCTGATAAAAACTAGTAGTGGAGATGCAAGAGGCTTGTCTTTATCTCAGTTCTTGAAGTGTTTTAGGATTTGTAATTGGGCAGTTGCCTATATTAAAGCGAATAAAATATAATAAAATCTCTAGCATTAATAAATTTTCAATACCCTGTGGTGTAAAAATTCAAGCCTAGTAGTAGCTCTTGTTCTTGAAGTGGCACTTCTACAAACATGTCTTTGTTATAGATGCCATGTAAGATTGAAGTGCTATAGTAATATTCTCTGTCGCCCCTACTTAGTTCTTTACTTTGTAGGTTGAACAGAGAAATGACAGATATAAATACTGTGGTCATTTCTGATGTTCTGCTTATTTAATGTAGACAAATCACTGTGAAATACCCAGTTTGCTGTATTCTTCTTTCTGTGCCAATTCCTTTTCATTTCAACATTATTTGCTTTACTTCGGTAAATTAATGTATAGTCCTGTCCTGGTGTTCAGAGCATCTCAACCAATCAAGTTAAGTGTGCAAGAGTGTTGTCAGGTTTCCACTCCAGTATATGGTGGATAAGGTTTTCAATATTCCTAGCAACATTGAAATAATCAATGCAGCGTATAAGTGAGCAAATATGGCATTATTAATCAGAATAAATGTACCATAATGTAAGCAACAAAAATGAATTATTGCAACTACATAGTAATCTGTATTAACTATCTCTAATAAATGACTGTTTGCCCACCAACCTTTATATCTACACTAAAATAGATCAATGCAATCTCTGCAGTATTTACTGCTTGGCTCCTGTGGTGTGGAAAAAATTCTTTTTTAAAAGGCACAGCTAGAAGATCTGCATGTATCTTTTCTGTATTTAGGATATTGAAATAACTAAAACATGTTTTTGTTACAGAACCTTCAACATGGATGAATTCAAACGCTGTTACTCCAACGAAGATGAAGCTGTATCTATTCCATTTTTTTGGGAGAAGTTTGATCCAGAAAATTATTCAATTTGGCTGGGAGAATACAAGTACAATGATGAATTGCAGAAGGTCTTCATGAGCTGCAATCTTATTTCAGGCAAGTGCAATAGAATTCATTGTACTTGTAATATTAGGTGTTTGTATATGTACATAAGTAATAGAACAAAATGGTGTGTACTGATATTGGAAATGACTTTAAAAATGCAGTGTGTGAAACAAAGGTCTCACCCACTTGTTTTCTGTTCATAAAAACTGCATTTTTCTCATTCTATTAATGTCCAAATCTTAAACGATGTGATAAACATCTCAATGCATGCGACCTCATTTCCAAACAGCATGTTAAGAAAAAGGCCAAAAAAGGTTTATGGTATTTCCCTTCCATGTTACGAACTTCCAACCATTTTGTCATCAAACATTCATACCCACTAGTGATTCATTGATGAGACTTAATGTTTGATTTTTGAGTAATTTTCGTTACTTGTGCCTAATTTTTATATTTCTTTGATTAGTAAATTTGTTGATGTGTTAGATGGACTAAATTATCAACCATTTCCTTCATACTTCCTCGTATTAATATATTCATGTAGTAAAGAGAGAGTATTGTAATATTGCAGTGACAATCAGTGATATTTTCAACAGGTAAATTGTCAGGCCCTGGTGGATATTATATATAGAAAGTGGATATTACCCTTACCCTTTACTTGCTAGCTCCGATATACCTACCATCCCCCGATTGTGGGAGTGATCCAAGTCCAATTGATCGGTTTATTTCGTGGAACTCGCTGCTCCACGCTCTAAAATTTGAAGCGCGCACGTAGCCAAGACTTGCCAATGACTCAACCAATGACTTGCCTTGAGCGCAGGAACTATCTTTACCGATCGATTGGTGAGTCTTGGATCTTAACCGTTCCTCACCTGGGAGCACACACACAGCATCTCACGTGTGACTCCAGTCACACATGGAACAGTCCCCAGAGGCGCATCAGCACAAGATTTGCCGCACAAGCCCTACCTACCGCTACACCGGCCTGGCGCAAGTTTTGTGCAACAGGAGGTTCTCGCACTTTACCAGAACCCACTCACTGGCTCTGTACTCTCCCTTATATAGCTGTCCCTCATGTGACATACTGAGTCCTGCTGCTTCCATAGCTCACTTATGATTGCCATGCAGCTGTTAAGTTTTTGATTCCGTTCCCCAAGATCTGATAACTGCTGAGCGCCTTGTATCTTCTTTTGCCTCGCATTCATACAGAGAGCTTTTCTCACCCTCCTGCGGCAAGGTGTTTTTCTGGTGCTAAATCACTTTTTGCCAATCCCCAAATAGCTACAAAGTTCGATTGCTGGTATGTTAAAATATCAAGACAGCAAAAGTTTTTTCATCAATCTGTGGTAAATTTTTACACCTAAACTGTACAAACACTAATTTTCTTACAAATTAATATTCCCCTACTGATCTAAACGAACTTGGGGCTCTGAGACTTTGAAATGGATATACAGTAGACTAGAGTTATAGTGAACTTCTGGGGACTAGTATTTTTAATGAATTATATTCAATATTATTATAATTAAATAGAATTTTCTCACAATTATTGGTTTTATTAATATAGGGATACTGCTAAATACTTAAACGAAATGAAAATGTCAATATCTTTGTGCCCTCAAGAGATTTTTTTCTTAAATTGTTTAATTTGTACATTTTTCATTACCAATTTCTATAGATACTTCTTGAGATTTCATGCACTCTCATATTACTTTCTGCCTAGTTTACTCTTTAAGTATCATAATATAGTTGATATCCTTCAATGCCTCTTCCAATGAATTTATGAATCTGAGGCAATATATTAATTTCCAGGAAGTATTCCCTATGTTCACTATAAAAGTCACATTTTTGTTTCTGAATTTGTGAAAATTGCAAAAGTTTTAATTTTTTTAGAATTTTCTCACATCTAAAATATTGAAGATTTCCTCCAATGAAATCTCATCCATGTCCTTAAAATGTCATGGATACTTGTATTGAGAACATTAGTATTTTTTCAGATAAATTTTGTATGTCTTAAACAATTTTTAAACAATTGTTTTCGCAAAAGCTCCAAATTTGTTCTTCCATTTTTCTTCTTTCATAGCAAATGGGTGTCAAATTTTAATAAATGCCTACTCAATCCCCATTTCCTCTCAAGTTTTAATTAAAACTATCCCCAAAAGTATGGAAAAGGTCTTACAGTTCTTCATGGTTTGCATTTTACTGAAATGCAGTTACCTAAAGCTGGTTTTATTTGCATGGGGTTCAAAAAGCAACTAAGGTGGTTTATGATGTAGATCAGAGGGAGAGAGTGGTTATCTGAAGTGTAAAGATCCTTTCCTCAAAGTCATGGTGAGCGTTTCCTCATTGTGAAACGGTGAAAGGAAGAAGAACGAGACAAATACCATGTCATGGTGTAATGATAGTACCATGAAGAGTTTGTCACTACAAATTTGCATTTTAATTTTTTTGTTAATTTAATTCCTGTTAATATGTTGGTAAAAATGCAAAAAGGACTGAAGTTCAAAAAGTTGAACAATGAGCCTAGTAGCATTAAGTTAGGTTATATTAGGGCCGAACACATGAGATGGTATTTGAACACTACTTTTTATTTCTCACTGCATAATCACTTCTCTCTATAATTCAACTCATTAGAATGCTTTCAAAACTACAAAAGGAACAAAACACCAAACTTATAGCATACCAGAGGTGGCTCTGAAAAGTGAAACCAGGAGCGTCCAAGGCAAATCGGATGATATGTTTCAAAAAATGAAGCAAGTTGTCTTTTGTATGAATTCCATCTTGTCTGTTCTGTCACATCTGTACTGATAGGAAAAGGAGTGTTTAGTAATGGCTTGTTTGCAGACTTGCTCAAAATATATAAAATGCAAAACTTACTGAAATAATTCTTATGCAAACTCACTAAATAGATGGCTTGAATTTTACCTAGGGAAATTAAATTGTGAATTATTTGTAGTTCGTATATAATGTGTCATTGATTCTTTGTTGAATCTTTATTGGGGCTAAATTTTTAGTTAACACTTCCCATTCCTTAAAATGTACATAACAATGCGGATTACCCACAGTATTTTTATAAAAGAATTAATCTACTCTATTAGAGATATTGATAAGGGATCAAAGCATTACTAAAAAGAAGTTTGTATGGAACAGAGATGGGAGATTCTGGAGTGTGAAGATCCTTTCCTCAAAGTCATGGTGAGTCTCTCCTCATTGTGAAACGGTGAAAGGTAGAAGAACGAGACAGATACCATGTCATCGTGCACTAGTGGCATTATGAAGAGTCTGTCACTACAAATTTAACTATGCTGTATATACCTGAATAAGATTAGGGTTTCCCCCTTAATATCTCGTTTGTATATTAAGGGGTTGTCTTGCATTCACATATTAAGCCTAGACTGTTGGGATTTGCTTTTATACAAATCTTTCCTTGTCAAGAAACAAATGCTGACATAATAAAAAAAATATCAAAAAAAGTTTGAGGAACAGAAAAGTGAACATTCATAATGTTTCACCTTCTCTTGACAATTATTAATTTGGATGATTTGTAATTTTGTTCTAAATTTCAAGATTGGTTAGGTACTTCTGTGCAATTGCACCCAGGCTAATGTGGCCTAGCTGGGAGCTAAAAATAAGGCTCCCTTCTCCCTCGACATGTGTGTGAGCACAATGCTCTGCTTTTCTTAACCCTTGGGGGCAGATCCTAGTATTCACATGGTAAAGGAGTGAGCTCAGCTGCCCTGGATGGAAATCTCAAGATAAAAATCTTGACCCATGTTGAGATTCAAACTTGCATCCTTCTGGTCATGTAGGCATCATCCTACCTCTTCAGGCATCCTGGCTCCAAGAATTAACATAAAATAAAAATTCTCAGATAACCTCTTCAAAATTAGGGGGTCATGTATTTAGGTAAAGGGGTAAATCTGAATTTTTTTTTTCCTGAAGTATGGATTTTGAGACTTCCTTATTAATAGAAATGTATTAAAGAAAATGATTTTCCAAGGTTTGTATTTTTTGTTACATACATGGAGGAATTCTGGTGATATTAATATGATATGATTGGGGAATGGAGGCTTAAAGTTGGCAATATTCTGTCTTAAGTTATATAAACCACTTTAGTGGTAAATTATTACATTTAATTCATTGGAGGGAATTTTAATTTGTCCTAACGTATTTGGTTTGCGTTATGAATGAATTGATAGCGATTGTCTACTACGAAAAGTTAGTTACATAGTGTAATAAATCATGTGTAGGAAATAATTACAACATCAGTATGTCACTGAAGGTTGCAAAATTAAAAAATACCCTTTCAAAGTATGTCTACAGCTTATTTCATAAACTGTGCTGTTTGCATTGGGGTACTATATTGATGAAATGATGGAACAAAATGCTGGAAGATTTCTTGTCAAGCCTTTCTTCCAAGACATTGCGGGTTTCTACTCGTGATGGAAATTCGAAAGGCAGAATAAAGTGACATAAATAAGTCTTTGTGTAGATCTTTCACACTGATGCGTCAATGTCACAACATGTGAAAATCTATCCAATTAATTTATGACATTATTATTATTATTATTATTATTATTATTATTATTATTATTATTATTACACGGCACATCAGTACTTCTACAAAAGGTACTTACATTTTTATATATTCTTTGAGCATTAGCAATGATTCACTTGTTGCTTATCTTTTTCTGTGCCAGAAAGATGCTGTTTTATTGCATTGCCAAAAACTTTGAGATTTTCTTTGTTCTGTGAAAACCTGGATTCTTCCATGTTAATTCCATTCCTAGAATTTCAGGCTTCTCAGTGTCATTTTTCCTAATTTTTTGGCCTTTGTTGGAATGCTCACTTTTAGTCCAAATTCACCATGTCCATGTTTTTACAAAACAAATTCATAATCTAATGTTTTTATTCTTATCTTTATGAAATCTTTCCAAAAGTATACATTCCAAACATTTAAAAGATTTCATTGAAAAGTTTGGGGGCCTGTGTTGTTTTTTCTTACTAAACTAGTGCTTTTTCACGTTACAAGGAAACTATTTTCGTTTCCCTAATTGTGTTCTGGAAAATTAAAAACTTAAAAATTATAGTTTTTTAAGATGCTGGTTTATTCCCCCCCCCCCAACGCCACCAGTCTTTTTGTAGGGACTGAAAAAAGCGGAGCCTTTTAGGCTTTCTAAGCAAGTGTGGTGATAGGTTCTTCTCAATCAGTTTTCCTTTTTTTAGTTTCCTGTATTCTCTCCTCTCTCTCTCATGTTGTCTCAGTTCATTTATCCCTGAAACAGCATACGTACAATTCTGCAAATGATGTAGGCCTCTATACATTTTTAGTTAGGATTGTATAGAGAGTATTTTTTATTAGATTTACATTTGCTTATGTGTACTTTTAGGGATGTTCCAGAGACTTGACAAGATGAGGAAGAATGCATTTGCTTCTATGTGCTTGTTTGGTACTGATAATAACAGCTCAATATCAGGTATCTGGGTTTGGAGAGGTCAGAACCTAGCTTTCGAGGTAAGTAAAAAAAAAGAAGCTTTTTAACATATTAAAATTAAATATTTCTGTCATCTTCACAGGCTTTAAATCAACAATTTTAATGCTCTTGTTTCCCGTTGACATTGTGAAAAGGAATTGGTGCAATTTTAAGTGTTGGCAGCACTGATTATCCATATTTACTCATCCTTTTCTTTCTCCGTTTCCTCCTTTTAATTCAGTTTAAAGGGAGTGGACAAAATTCTTGAAAGAACTGAGGGCTAGGCTTCTTGCTGACCATGTCCATGCCTCCAAGCCAAAGAACAGGAAATTTCTGATCCAACCATTCAAAGTGATTATTAAGTGAAGATTAGTACAAAGTGAACTGACATTTGCATAAATCCTGCATTAATTCACCAAATTCCATTCCTTCATCAGTTTTAGAATTTCAACTACTGAACAAAACAGGGTCTCCAAGGGTGAAAACTGAATTCTTTGTTTACAATATGCATGCTGCTTTCAGTAGCAAATATTTGAACTAGGTAACAAGGGTGATATGAAATCCTAACAAATTCTTTATATACTTTAACTCTTCAAAAAGTTTGAAATAATTCAAACTTTAGTGATGTTTTATTTATTTACATTCCTTCTTTTGTGTGTGCACTTGTAATAAAAAAAAATTCAGTGGGATAATACACAATAATAGGACTGTGTACAAGAGCTGGTGGAATCTACAAATAAACCCACATTTGTTTTTTCCTAATAAAAATTACTTGTTGACAATTGAAGTGTTTTGTTAAAGTTTTGAAATAAGAATAGGAACGTATAACTACATCAGACCGGACAATGCAACTGAAGCTTACCCATGGCCTTCTGGAATATTGCAAATACTTAATGAAATGATATTGAGAAACTATGGAAGAAAGTACTTCTTTCTCCCGACTTTAGGGAATGGCCTGGAAAATTATTCTTCGCAAAAAAGATTTAAAATTTTCTACAATAGGCAGAAAGTGGTGGGGTTCTCAGAAAAAAATTCACATTTTAATCTTGGATAATACTTAATGCAGAAAATAAAAATTAAACTTAAAGCTTATATTAACAGGGCTAATTCCTCTGAAGCAATTAAAGCTTTTCACGATATCACATGGTGAATGGGATGCTAAAGTTCCCAAAACTTTGAAAATCCGACCACAAAGGCAAATAACAAGACAAAAGAAGAAAAAATGTATATCCTGGTGTTTTTACACGTCCAGAGGCTCCTTGCAACTGCAGTATTGTGCATGAAAACGGTGCAACAAAACTTAATATTGATAGGTATAATACTTAGTTAACATTTATTTCCTATCCATCACAAACCTACTCTCAGTTGTTACTAGACCTTGCTTATGAAATTTTAGACACCTCATTTAAGGTATTTAAATCATTAGTTTTGAAAATTGCAAACTTAACCCATTTCTATTTGGCTTTTTCTTGTGATGCATACTAGTTAAGGAGAATGTGAAACTATACCCATACCACAGTGACTAATTATTTTGCAGTGCAAAGCTCAATGAATGTGCAAATGAATTGACTAGGAACATTTATAGTTGACATTCATGGAGTTCTCTTCTTACTTTCATTTAGGATTGTTGAACTTCTTTTGGTTTAAAATTCATTTCCTTCTACCCATTTCTGTATGGTTTCTTCTTTCCATGTAGAAAAGTTTTGGAAGGAAGATTAATGTGAAACTTATCCCATGCTGCAAAGTGATGGATTCTTTTGCAGTGTATAACTGTCACTAGATATACCAATGAGTGCATGAGGAATATTTAAAATTCTTTTTCCAGATTAAATTGCTTGATGAGCTTTTAATTTTATTTATTCTGCTATTCAACTTATTTGAAAATAAAATACTTTTTAAGGTCTTTTAGGGTAGTTTAGTAAGGGTTTAGGGTTCCTTTAATGGATGAATGAATTGAATATGGTGTTGTAGTGGATGATTCATGGAGGTTAGAAATGGTTCATAAAAATTTTTAAATTGTTATTGTTGCAGTTGTCGCCAGATTGGACTATAGATTACGAGTCATATCAGTGGACAAAGTTGGACCCTACAAAAGAAGAAACTAAGAGACAAGTAAAGCAGTACTTCTCGTGGACTGGAACCGATAAAGAACAGCGTCCATTCAACCAGGGCAAGATCTTCAAATAGTGGGATTGGGTAAATTACTTTGAATGAAGCTAACGTCCTTGAGGGTTTTTGGCATTGGTGGCCACACAATCCCAGTGAAATAACTGGAGTGCAGTGTCACCCAGGGCTCGTAATTTGGGACTTATCTTCTTTAAGACTCAACTGGAAGAATATATTGCCTAAAGCAGACGCCCTTCTTTTGTTCCTTCCATTAAATATTGGTAAGACTTTTTTTTAAAATATTCACTTATTACGTACTCTATTCAAATTATTTCTCCTGGTAAAGACTTGATTCATCAGAGGTTTGACAGATCTCTAAAGAAATTTATTGTACCAATATTTAATAACAAACCCCACATTATCATAGTTCATTCCATTCCACCTAAAATAGAGGGATCCTTACTAGACATTTTCACTTATCACAATTCTGAATTAATGCCATAGGTATAAGCAGTGCAAGTCTTTCTGGAATATTTCATTGTGCTACTATTAATTGTGCAGAATTTTTTATTCCTAACGAATCCATGTTGTATGTAGTAAGTGGTTTATATTGTGTGGACCGCCTGTGTTACTTTGGAAGAACGATAAAAAACTTATGCTGGTTATTTATAACTACAGTGTTGAATATATATTGAGTGCTGATTCTTAATTTTTGTTATTCTTATCCTTGCATCCTTATCCTGTAAACATGCTCTAAGTTTGGCAACTGGGATATACTGTATTACAGAGCGTTCAGGGCAGTGAACGATTATAATGACTGCTTCTACCACAGATGAGCGACACTTAAGACCGCATCGCTCTCGGCTAAATATTCTTCCGCCAGTCAGCTGAGTTGCATTCACAGCTGGCCGTGGTTGACTGAATTTTGTTGTTGAATGTAATTTTGACCGCTTGGATGTTAGAAAGTTTTCATGAGAGATTCATTTAATTCCGCATCATTAATGATGAAATATTATTCTAGGTGATTCAAATCATTTTGAAATACTGTTGAGAACATGTGATTAGTTGAATTAAGTCATCAGATATGAGAATGAAATGAAATATACTGCAAAGCTCCCATGTAGGCCTTGTAAAAAACTATTGGAATTGTGCCGGTACTTTTCGATCTTGCGTGTTCAGAAGATTCAAATTAATGTGTGCTGTATAATGTTTTGCGGTTATGATATCTGATGTTTATAATTACGATTTCATTTTCATGGTGCTCATCTTATGACTGACAGGGCCAGTTATGGCAATTTATCTGATCAGTGACTTATAGATATGGTTAGTTAATTGTGAATTCGTTGTTAATCAATACTTAAATACTATTATTTGTTCAGTGATTTGACTAATAAAAACAAGGCTTAATTGTCATGTTATAATTAACATAAAACTACCATTAAATTTGCTATTTTTTCATAATTTTGGCTTCTCCTGATTGTACAATCTTGAAAAATTTCACACTACATTCAAAGATTTCTGTGGGGAAACAAGGTACAGTTAGTAGATATTCTGGAGTACTGTTTGCAGAATTCTCAGTAATTCAATTGATCAGTAACTTCGCGGTAAATTTCTTAAATATGGAAATAAAGCTTATTCTTAAAAGTATGATAAAAAATGGGTTAAAAACTGCTATAAATTATTGTACTCGCCTATCATTCAAATTAAATGTTTCATACCTTCAATCACTTTATTACATAATATAAAAGTCAATTAGAAATTAGGTGAAAGGTAACATAAAAAAAGCAAACATTTATTTGAAGGATACAACATTTCCACTGAATCCAGAGTCCAACTATACAAAATCATAATGAGTTTCCCAAGTCCTTTTAGAAAATATTCACAACCTACTATTAACATCTCCAGCCTCAGCCTACCACATTTCCCGGGGTGAGGAGTAAAAATTATATATTTGAATTTTTACCAAGAGGATAAAACAATGAACAATGTTCAAATTGTATTTTCTTATGACAACACTTAATTGGTTATCAAAGCAGTCCTAACATCTGATTTTGATAATAATGTATTGCATTAAGATGTAGAATAAGAGAAACTAACATACTGCTCAAAAATAAACTTTTCTTTTCACTGAATCTGCATTTCTAATTTTTATTAAAAGAATAATTTTTCTATTACTTCAAGTTAATTTTTGAAGAGTGTGAATGAATGTTATTAAAATACATTTTCAACCCATTCATTCACAATCCGACCTTTTCTTCACATGCTTTCATTCACACCAGATTCATATACATAAAAAATTAACTTCATATAACTGAAACTTCTTTCTTTTAATAAAAATGAAAATTACAAAATTACGAAAAAGAATTTACAAAGGAAGTTAACATGTGCAGAATAATGAAGTGTCCAGTTATATCTTCTGAGAAGTACACCTAAAAAAAAAAAACCCTACCCATACGGATAGCAAAAAGCTACTGGGAAGCAAGCAAATGAGCATTTATTTCAGTAAGCCAAGATCAGCATAAAAACAATAAAGATTCACTATTTCACCTGGAATGTAATCTCAAGCTTATGTTGCCGTCTGGAGTGGCGTGAATTTATTAACTTTGAAAAATAATAACCTTGAATATAGTGTTCAGAATTCTTCAACGATGTTTTTATCACTATAATAAAAATATTTTTATTGAACTTTCTGCTTTGTCGGAATGACAATAAAGTTAGGTTGTGCCACAGCGGCCACGACACGTTAGCCAACGTTCGTGGAAATGAAATCGAATCTTTCTGCATGTTAATTCACTGAGGCGGCACGCGCCTCCAAGGGCATGATGCCATGTGGTATGGCATCAGTGGCTGTCAAAAAAACCGGTCACATGACTGAACGCTCTGTAAGTCAAGTGGGAACATAGGTATGGATATTCAAAACTAAAGTTGCTTTGAGACACTTTACATATAGTTATTGCTAGTACTATTGTGTATTCTTCAGAAACGAGTTCTACAAAGAATGAGCTCAAAGTTTGACTTGATGTACAACCTGCTTCAAAGATAGTTTTTCTGTTGAATATTATGCTGTATTACAAAACTAAATATGCATCTCAGATGCAGCACATCACACTTCAGGATGTTTTTAAATTTATCGTTCATAAACAGTTTTAGGGCATTAAAAGCTGAACTTTTGAGGCCGAATGCTGCAAAGAAATGTTTCTTACACTGTAATCTATAGCTCTGTTAACATTCTGTTGCATTTTTGCTGGCAGGAGGGGGAGAGGCGATGGGAAATGAAGGGCACAGTGTCTGCCAGATTCTGCTAGTCTAAGTTGTGTATATATTTGTGACAAACAAAACTGTGTTCGCACAAAACTGAATATGCCATACAAAGGGGAATTACAGACTAGGACATAGACGAAATTCAGGAAGGGATTTCCTGTGACGGTGACAAAGTACGGAGGTGGTCTGAAAAGTTCTCGGCCTCGCCCATTGATCAATGAGCTACTCGCATGATTTTTTGCCCCAAAGTTAGTACAACTTCCAGAAGGTTTCATATGAAGTTCCAAAGAATTGTGTTTGAATCGGGTACGGTGCGGGTAATCATGGAAACGGAGAAGCTGGAGTATAGTGCAGTGATAGTTCTTCGAGAAGAGGGCTCGACGTCGTCCCAAATTCAAGAAGGTTAAAGTTTTCCGAGGACTTAATTTTCCACCATGAAGAAGGATTAAAGGCGGCTGTTTCAGTATCCAAGATTCACGCGAAGGACGGCCAAAAAGTGGAACGACAACTGAAATTATCGAAAAGAGCACGATACAATCTTACAAGGTCGGCGTACGGTGCTTGAAATAGCTGAGTAGGAATTTCAACAGCATGTAGGCCATATTTAGCATGAATTGCACGGGAAAGCTTTGCGAATGATAGGTGCCGCATCTGCTGACGGCAGATCGGAAACTCATTCGGACAGAACTTCAAAAGTGCTTTGCGCTTTTCAAGAAAAACAAAAAGGATATTTTGCGTCGATATGACTAGATGAAACGTAGATATACCATTTCACACCAGTCAAAATCAACAATCCAAGCAGTGGACTGAAGTCGGTTCTTCACCTCCAAAGAAGGCAAAGACTGTGTCAGATGCAGAAAAGGTCGTGGTATCGGTGTTTTGGAATACGAAAGGCATTTTTATTAATTTTCTTAAAAAAGGTAAAGCACTACAAAGATGGGATAATAGCACTGGAGCACCCGTGGATGAAGTGCATTAGTATGGAAGATTATATTGAAAAATAAACTTTTGAACACAATTTATTTTCCCTATCAGGCCGAGAACTTTTCAGACCAGCCTCTTACTGCAGAGGAATCACGCAAGCTGATGCAAGACTTGCGACGCCCAAGTAGAGAAAAATCCGCGATTCTCCTTGCACGTGACCAAACGGGACAAATCAGGACTTAACTTGTCCCAGACTGAGACTGAACACGTGACGTACGGACAGAAGATACAGAGTGTGTGTGGAGGAGGTCGTGTCGGACAGAAGCACGTGTTCATGAGAACTGTGGGAGCGGGCAGTCGGCGGTGCCCGATAAAGAGCGATTTTTATACGAATGGGACAGTGACAGTTCGAGAAACAAGTGAACATCACGTGTAATTCTGAGAAGCATTTGTCCGCCGCGGCAGCTGTTCAGCCACATCGCTTCGTAAAGTGTTTAAGGACCCCGCGAAGACATCACTATACAGAAGTGGTAGAGTTTCGCTTTGTTTTCACAAGCGTGCCGCAATTACATAAAAAATAAATATAAAAAGCAGAGCACGGGACGGGACCACGAAAAGCTCTCGAACACAGTTCGCCACATTACAACGCAGAAACGTGCATCGTGACCAGTACGCATCTCACATTCAAAACTCGGTTTTAAAACAAACAATGCTTTTCAAATAAAAACTGAATTCAGTGTAATGTTTATTTGAAAAAAAATGAAATTTTACAGTAAATCTCATAGCTCTGCACTTACTAATTTCAATTTTTTCTCGGGGCGCACTATTCTTTAGTAGGACGAGGACATTCCAAAAAGAGCCGAAACCATTTACATGTTAGCCAATTGCAAACGAACGAATGCAGGAAGGACAGTGTATTAGATTCAAGGTCAAAACTACCACAGAACCTTAGTGTTGCCAGTACTAGCTGTCAAAGCGTCCCAATCTTATAAATATCGCTCTATAGATGTGCGGATAGAAGCATACAGGAGTGTGAGTCAGGGCTGACGTGAGTAGTGGATAGACGGAGAAAACCAAAGACGTATGCGAAGGATCGGGCGTGTGCAACTCCAAAATCGCCGAGAATCGAACTGTGACCACGGAACCGAAATACTCATTTCGGTTGTTCGAGGCGCCGCGCCTCTGTGCACGAGGTGCGAGGGCGGCTGAGTACAGCGTTTCGACGCGGTGCGGGGGCCGCGCCGTCGGCGGGCCTTCGCCTGACGTCCCGTGGGGCCATCCCAGCCGAGAGGGGCCGCTGAAACTACACTGCAACTTCGCATCGTCCGCGCGCCTAGCGGACTTATTTTATTTGCTAATAAATGTGCTCGGATTGTATGCCATGATGCCATTTCTAAAGCAGGTAAGCCCCTTTGCATTCCCCCAGCCAAGCAACCCTTTAAACAAATCCGCCTTTATTCAAGCTCACCTCACGTGTTGGATCCGTGGAGCTCTGGGCAAATTGCGATCCTTGACTCGAGCAATTGCTTGCAAGGGAGTCGCCGAAGTTGGCGGTTCCCGTGTCCTGACGAGTCTGCGGGTACATTTGGCCCCGAACCGGTTCACGAACTCCGCTACAGTCACACATACACACCCCCTGGGACGGGCAGAGAGGCAGACTAAGAGCGGCCAAGAGAAACAGCCCCATGTAGTACCCCCCCCCTCCCGCTTCCACGCCTGCTTGCCTCTTCTTCGTCACCTACTTGTCCCCCCCCCCTACTACCTCATATACAGGATCAACTCGCAATCCGTCTGGAAACACCACTTCTTGTTTTGGCAACGCATGAAATATTTTTGTAATCCCTTTCACTTTTAGCGAGCCATGGCCGCGTGCCGTCAGATTTCGGAGTGAGAGATTGTGGCTAATTTTAGTTACTCTTCAACGTACTGCAGCCACTACACTGAAAAGCAGTGTTGCCAGATGTGTTTAGAGGGATTCCGCCTTGTTCGTTTCAGTTTCCGCCGAAAATCCGCTGAATTGATTTTATATTTCCCGCCTAAATCCGCTTAACGAAATAAATTCCTTTTGCCATAGTTAAAAGTTGAATTAATTTATTCTATAAATTAACAAAAATATGATTGCGAAATATAGTGGCTTCATTGAACCTGCAATTCAACTTTTAGATCATATAGAATGCATTACTTGGGTGAAAATTTTCAAAATAATAACAATTGATTTCAGGTATTATATAATTTATTATGTAAGTATTATATTATTTTTTTCTTGCTGGTAAAATAGATTTAGAAATTTTAAAAATATACATCTGTGCAAAACAACTTATTAATAAAGGTTAATGAAAACTAGTGCTTTACTACCTTTGTTAATTTCCGCCGTTTATTTCGCTGCCCGCGAAACTAATTTTTTTCCCGCCGTACGAGTTCAAAATCCGCTGAAAACGGCGGGAATTCCGCTGATATAGCAACACTGCTGAAAAAAGCAAACGCCTGTCTGTTGACAAATGGTTTGAGCATTTGCTCGACGGTCAGTTTTTTGTTATTTCAATAAATTTTTTTTCAATAATTAATTTACTACTTTGTTTTATAGGTATTTTTAATAATTTTTATAAGGCGAGATCTCTTTCTGATTTCTGAGTCGAATTTCTTTAAATAATTATTATGTTTGTGTTAATAAATTGATAAACAGTCAACTTCCTTCCAACATTTTCAGCGTTTTATTTCTTATGCATACTGGACAGAATCGACTCGAGACGTTTTGTTTCTTGCTCATCTCTGCTCGCCCCACCCACTCTGCAGCGCGGAAAGCTTCCGGCGTGTAAGCCGCATATACCTGCTCGCCTAAGCTCTTGAATGGGAAAATCATGAAAATTGCTGCAGCTTATGACCTGGCGGTCGCCTCTGTTGTCTCGACGTGCGAGGCACTCTCTAGAACTTGTTCTATTATTTGATTATCCACTACCAATTTAAACCTAAACTGATTCTTAGCAATTCTCAAAGCTTTCGTCTTCTGAGTAGATATTTTTAAATTAAAATTATTACAAATAGTACTGAATTCGTACAGCAATCGTAAGTGATCTTCATTTTCTGCTATTATCAATGTGTCGTCTGTGTAACATATATTTATATTATATTTTCCCAAAATATACCATTATTTTTAGTAATTTTATAATTCAATTCATTATTACATTAAATACCAATGGGCCCAATGAGTCCCCTTGCCCTTATCCCTTGCGTTGCAGGTAGAGCAGCTGATATCTTCCCCTGATTTTAATCTTCATTTTGTTTTTCTGTATATACACATATTCCCTGGGCTGCAAGTAATACAGCAGCCAACTATCTAGGAATGCAACTTGATACTAAATTAAACTGGAAAACACACAATTAAACACAAAAAAAAAAAACACAAGCAAAACTTTCCCAACTTTCCGCACTAATTAACAAAAAATCCTCCCTTAAAATAGAGACCGGAATGATAATTTACAAGTCTATAATTTCATAATTCACCAACTATGATTATGCATGCCAATATGGGGAAATGCAGCAACAAACTAATATAAACCTGTTGCAAACATAAAAATAAAAGCGCTAAGAACTTATAAAGCGCCATGGTTTATTTCGAACAAGCAAATCACCACGGACTGCTAATCCGTTACAATAAAAGAACCATTACCAAAACTGGTCCAAGACTTTTTCACGTCACTTCCTCATCTCCCAGCACTCATTTTAACCTTGGACCACAGCAAAACCGAACTTTACGCATCAACAGCTTCCCAAAGACAGAATTCAACCACCATAACATAGCAGAAATGGGCCTCAAATAATATAACCTCATCGAATAATCATATCAACGATCATTCTCTGTACTTCAATAAACTTCCGTAAAATTTAAATTATTCATAAAAAAAAATATTACAACAAAAACATTTTATCGATCGTCGAGGGCACCCACATTGGAAATAACCAAAAGTTATGTATGATTCGTATTCACAACCCTGAAAAACATGTAGTTGAACAGGTCGACAATAAATATAAAATTTTTTTTTAAAAAAATGTATAACACAGATGTGCG